GTTCTTGTCGACCACAGTATCATATGCAGATATTGTAGAAATAGCAAAAACGTATTGTAATGGCACCTAGATATAATACAATAAGTAAAAAGTAATAGATGGCATGAAACAACAAGTGTGCTATATTAATAAAATTGAAATGACAGCTGCCTCCTGTAAGTGGCTACATTGTGCTAGTTGGACTAATAAGCCCCGTTCCCATTAGCACCTACTCGAATCAACTCGCCACGACTCGACTCGGATTGACTGGTTTTCCATTACAGTCGGATAGTACCTGTTATGCATGGCTGTCGTCATAGCAAAGCATCCAAGCGTCCCACAAAATAATTACTATGTGACACGGACGCTACAGCAAAGGTGTACACTGAGGCAAGAACATACCCGCTGCTCGGTCTGTGACTTTTCGCCAGTCTCAGGGGACCACAGTGTTGTTTTTTTGTAGTTATTTCCCTTGCTACCGGGATTCCAAAATGGCGGCTCTGATGTTCGTGAATGAGATACTCTCATGACTCATCAAGTGACACTACTGACCAGCCAATCGGTGGGATGCAGCCTGACGACATCACATTTTAGTACCTGCTCAGATCGTTTGGAACCCAGGGCAAGCAGATACTAAAAAAGTACCTGCTGCCAGGTACTGTGACCTAAATGGAAAACCTTGAAAACTGTGGCGAGCCATGCCAAGTAGATACTAATGGAAAAGGGGCTATAGTTCTGACAGATTTGGGTAGTTTGTCAGACCCCATAGTGATTTGTATTATGTGCTTTAGGCCATGTCAGCACTAATACGTTTTCGTTTGAAAACACATCTTTTTCTCTTCGTTTTGGCCGTCCGTCCACAGATGGCGTTTTTGGTCAAGGAAAACTGAGCTTTTTGAAAATGCTCTCCAAAGCGACACATTATAGTCATATGATGACCAATTAAACTAAAATAGCGGTGGCCTATCTTAATTATACAGCAGTTGTTTTGTTTGCTCTCAATTTTGACAGCCCTATTAAAGATTAAGATCAGTTTGTACATTCTTCAAATTCTTTAATTCTCACTCGCTTTTGCAACTTTGTACTCTCGTGTTACTCACAGCAACAACTCCACCTCATTGTCAGTCCATTTAAAAAAAACTTGGTGCTTTTCCTCGACATTTTGCCACAATGTTTCAAAGGGCTGGAAAGTAAATAAATGGCAGACAGAAATGACACAGGTCGAATCGTCTTACTTTACACACATGCGCAGTACTGGAATGTAAGCGTTTTAGGTTGTTTCAGTGTGGATAAACAACTCTGTGAAAACCATAGTGTGGATGCGGAGCGTTTTTAGACGAAAACACAGTTTTCAAATTCATCCGGTGTAGTGTGTGTGCCTTAGTGAGTTTGATCTGTGCAGATGTGTGACTTTTTACACTTTGTCACTGCTCCCTGACATGCACACACCTCTTCTGCGCTGCTTTTCCTAATTTGGCCACATATTGCATGCCTTGCTGTAGTTCTGAGTTTTTCTTGAGGCTTGTGGTCGGTGGTAAACTCTTCTGTCTTCTGAAGTTTTTGCTCTCTTTTAGCTGCACAAATACAGACAGTGATGCTGTATAAGGCGCTGCCCCAGCTATTGAGAACAAACTGGGGTTCGGGTTTTATATATTTAAAAAAAAAAGCAATGTAGACCATGCCCATTAAAAATTGAGTTGACAATACTACACGAATCCCATCTTGTATGTGATTCCAGGAGGTAAAGTTGATGTTCCCTGGGGCCCAGCGAATGAACAGAGGAAATCATGAGATCCCTGCATTGGTACAAGCCTGCAAAGCTAACAGTGTTACCGACCTCGTCATCGTTCATGAGACAAGAGGACAGCCAGGTATACTCGCTTTATTCACTTATTCATTTTGCTGCAAAGTCCACCCTCATTAACCCCACACTCAGTCATTTTGCTCTACAGGCAGGCTCAAATATGACAGAAACATTCAGTTCAGAAGAGCTTTAATGGTTACTCCCACTCAGCTTTCATGGGGTATAGAGTTAAAGGACTACGTAGTTTTGTGTTCTGTATGCACAACATCCACCAACAGTGCTAAAACTGGTTGGTGGTTTCAGACCACATTGTACAGCTTGTTCATACATCCATTGCACATGTGCATTGCTGTTTTGTTTTTTCATCCTAGCTGTCCTATAGTCTTCACATTAGGTCAACACTAGAGAAACAAACACAGTTTCTTTACCAATATGAAAACTCTGCACTTTTAAAATTTATAATGGAGTGTTTTGGGTTTTTGTTTAACTCTCAGTATTGACCATAATAATTGTTATTTTGCTTAGTTTTGTTTGTTCTTATATATCTACAGATGGCCTGGTGGTGTGCCATTTGCCATTTGGCCCAACAGCTTATTTCACTCTTTACAACGTGGTAATGAGGCACGATGTTCCTGACATAGGCACCATGTCTGAGGCCTACCCCCACCTCATTTTTCACAACTTCACCTCACGGCTCGGCAAGAGGGTGAGTGAGTGAGTGCTGGACAGCACATGCCTTGGATATTCTTTCTCACCGCTTGTTTGTGCGTACAACTAATTAATTCTACTCACGCAGGTATCCAATATCCTCAAGTATCTTTTTCCAGTGCCAAAGGAGGACAGCAGGCGTGTGATCACATTCGCCAACCAAGAAGACTTCATCTCTTTCAGGTGAGCATCAAAAGTGAAAATTCATATAAACAAAATGCTATTTGGGTTAATAAGTAAGATATGATGCATTTATTTTTAACAGACATCACACCTATAAGAAAACAGACCACAAGAACATACAGCTGACGGAAGTAGGGCCCAGGTTTGAAATGAAATGTAAGTATGGAAAGTTACCGCTCTTCAGAGACTGAATTAACCATTGTTGACGTGGTTATATCTTCTCTGGAAATTCTTTGTTTTTCCATCTGTCACTACTTGATCCATAGCAGAAATCTGATTTGTTTTATACATAGGAGAAAGACTTTTTTCCCTGTCTTTACCTTTCACAATAAAAACCCTAGACAATGCATGGCTGCTGTCCTTACAGTAGTAGAGGGATTTCTTGTGATCAATGAAAGGCTTACAAAATTACATCAAAGCAATTTACACCTGATTTAAGGATTAAAACAACATGGTGTGTTTTAGTCCAATTTAGTCTGGTGGAAATTGTTTCAAATTGTGATTAGTTTGACTATGATTTCTGAAAGCATTGCCGAGCATGTGCAGTCATGTCCATGAGAAACATACTGCATAATGCAGTGCAGCCTCCAGGCCCGAACATCACAGCCATCCATGGCAGACACAGAGTTGTTCTGATTGGTTAACCTCTGCCCATTTGTACTTTTGAGAAACTCTTTTTATACCCATTCATATTACTGAGCTGTTGCCAATTCATACGGTTACCACTTTCTTTCCACCTCCCAAGTTTTTGAGGTATGTTGGTGCCATTGCTGCTTTAGTATTTTTCATGAAATTTACATTCTACAGTTTTTATGTACATGTAGTCTAAACTTTTTTGAAAGTTTAAAAATGTATAGTAAAAATATGTCGTAGCTTCAATTTTTTATAGAAATCAGTGTATTGTGTGTTGTGTAATGTATTGTATACTAATGTGCAACACCAGGAAGAAAAAAAGATATATTTTGAACTGATTGGAAGTAAGAGCATCAGGGGAAACTCCAGTTGTAGAAAAAATGGATTACTATCCTCTGCTCTGTACAAATTTTCTTTGGGCTCGTTAAATATTAACACCACATCCTCTTTCTATTTAGTGTATATGATCAAACTGGGAACCCTGGAGAACGAGGTCACCGCAGATGTGGAGTGGCGTCACCACGCATATACACACACAGCGAAGAAAAGAAGATTCCTTAGCATTGAATAGGAACTGAGTCATCATCTGGAATTATAAAATAATATGTGATTTTTGTTAAAGGAGCATAACGAGGGATGACAAGTCCAAGTGTAGTCAACAGCTATGGATGTCTACAGTGATGAGGAATAGGACAGCTGAGCTCAAGTAGATTGAGCCCTGTTTTTTATGACAACCCTATTTGTAAGGTTATATATACAGTATAAAGCATTGCATTCTATATGGTTATTCTAACTTTTATGCTGTTTTATAATAAAGAGTTTACTTGATCTGCAATGAGTCTTTCTTTTTTAAATATATATATACATATATATATATATATATATATATATATATACATACATCTATCCATCTTCATCCGCTTTATCCGGGTGGCTGACATTCTTTGTCCAACATATCTGTCCAAACCATCTCAGCCTTGCTTCTCTAACTTGGTCTTCCAACCGCTCAGCCTTAGCTGCCCCTCTGATGTACTCCTTTCTAATCCTATCCACTCTGATCATTCCAGTGAAAACCTTCGCATCCTCGACTTCGCATCTGCCACCTCCAGCTGGACCTGCTGTCTGTTTTGCCTCTGCCTTTGCTCACTTCCTCTTTTTGATGCCCGAAGTCGTTCTGCAGACTTCTACCTTAACTACATTCTCCCCTGCCAATACAGTCTCCTGTCTCTTTCAGATTAAACCATAACATGTATTCCACCTGTGTGTCTTTTTCCTCTCTTTTGTCACCCTTTGTGCCTCTCTCTTCTTAAAGTAATATTTCACCACAGAGATTTTTATCCTTTTTTCAGTACCAATTTGCCAAAATGACACATCTGCAAATATGTGTCAAGTGTCTGAACAGTGCACTAGTATGCATTCATACTTGTCTCAGTAGACCTAGTACAATCTTGTAACAGTTTTTTTAAATTAATTAATTTACTCGTGATCAAAATATAATTACAAAACAAATTAACATTTGTCATTTCCACCGGTTTTAACGCTGAACAATAATCACAGGTGTCTATACTCTTGCTGTAGTATACGTGTGTCGTTACACAGCAGCTCCCACCGTTTGGATTGCAGCTTCTGTCCAATGAAAGAACGCGCCTACAAAAGTTGACCAATGAGCACAGAGCATTTATGGAGTTTTTCCGCTTTCCCCTGAAGTTCTTGACAGATTCGCCTCCAGATTGCGAGAATTCAAGATGGCCGTTACAGGTACGAGTTTAACTTTTTATTTATCCCAACTGTTTCAGAACACTGAGACGAAAGGAGATTTTGCTGTCACCGTAAGCACTGCATAGCACAATCTGGACCGTCCTGTGTTGAGCGTGTCAAGGAAATTATTCGCTGCATATCTGAAAAGAGACTCTTAAGTAGGCACCAGCCTGACGCCGTGGTAAAACCCCTAAGTTTGCTAACCTTAGCAGGCTGGGACTCGCGTTAAAGCTTTTAACTGTAAACTGCGCTAGTGACTGAAGCAGCCACATAATCTCTCCCGTTCCAACTAATGCTAATGCTTAGCTATGCTAGTTTGCTAGCTGGTTGAGCGAAGAGGAATTTCCGAAAACTCTGATTACTTTGCTTTGTAGGAATTATGTTTTTATTATATCGCTTCGTACCTCCTTACTACAAATTACCTTGAAAGGCAGTCAGCTAGTTAGCCGGAGACAATTAACTCGCGCCCCAAGAGGAACATGGCTTCCCCAAACTCGAAATGTCATTTTACAAGGCAGTCGAATCCCATGCTAGGCTACCGGGCTAATATGAGCTAGCGTTAGCATCTTTCGGCTGTTAACCAAATGTGAAACTTTGTTTGTCAGCGGTTTGTTTCAATGTTAATTCAAAGCTCGCCAGGTCTCAAATATGAGTTACAACGTTTAGAAAAAGTTAGTTCTTGCTCCTGTAGGCCACTTTGCGAACACCTTAGTTGTCGGTGCCACTGGATTACAAGCTAACCGGTATATGGGACAATTCAAAACTCAGGAAAAAGCTTTCGCGAGGTTATAGTGTTTGGGTTAATCAAACAACTGTTATTTTCAACAACACTTTAAAGTATGTGACTTTTAAACTTTAAAGTTTTTACTAGCGTGTTGTACAGTAGTTGAGACAGAAAATATCACTCCCTCTTACTAATTTAATTGATTTTTATCCAAAAGAAATGGTAAAAGAGGGTGAAGACGAGTGCCAGGGGAGATTCGTGACAGAAGGACAGGAGCAAGATTGAAAGGTGTTTACAAGATGGTAGTGAGAGCTGCTATGATGTATAGGTTGGAGACGTTAACATTTTCATTAGGAGTGACTATGATGGACAAAATTAGAAATGAGTGCATCCAAGAGACACCTCAGGTTGGGCGGTTTGAAGACAAAGTTGGCCAAGGCTGAGTTGATTTGGACATGTGCAGAGGAGTGATGGTGAACACAGGATGTTGAAGACTGATCTTCTAGACAAGGAGGAAAGGAGGAAGGTTTGGGGATGTTGTGAAGGAGAGTGGTACAGAGGGTTCGTGTGATAGATGAGGATGCTAGGGAAGGGTTATCGGAGGTAGATTTTCTGCTGTACAACCCCTAAAGAGAGCGCCCAAAAAGTTATTTATAGTATTCTTCTAACATTAATTACCTATTAATGTTTATACAAGTAGTTAAAGTCTGTGCATTATCAATTTTATCATACCTATGTGCACTTTTTCATATTCTTTTTGTTTGTGTAGGTTCTAGGTAAAGGGCAAACTCCTCTGGACCCCACTGTGCATGAAGCTCTCCTGAGGCTTTGGTGTCCAAGTACTGTGTCTTCCCTTCCCCCCTGCCCTCCCCCAATTCCCTCCTGCCTCTCACCATGTCCTCCACCTCCTCCTCCTACTCCTCCTCAGGGGAGACCAGTCCAGAGGATCCACCCCGAGGTGGAGGAACCATCCGAGTCTACCTCCCCAACAAACAGAGGACAGTGGTGAGATACTTTTCTATGTTTGTCTTGACCAGTGACATTTTTTATATTAAACATTGTAACTATAAACAGTGCCTTGTTTGATAGAAAACAATTGACATTTAACACTTCTGTAGGAGGGAGAAAAAAATCTTCCATCACTGTTGGTTGTAACTGTAATTGCACCAAGTTTGACATCTTTCAGAATGTGCTAATGAGTAAGCTAGTTGGACAGTTGGTATCAGGTTTCTCAGATGGTGCCTGCCACCATCGTCCTTTAATTTGACTTGTAATTCCTGTTAGATGTCAAGTTTTCATACACTGAAGCGTAGCTGTTGCATAGTCCTGTCACAATGTCAGTGTTAAATTGAGTGATATGGGTGGCAGTGTAGAGGACACTGTGTTCATGGCATTATCCAACATGAATCTCTGGGATTCATGTAGGAGCATTCTCCTTTTAAATCCTCAGTGTTTACAGGTGAGTTTTATTAGCTGTACAGATCCTTCCAAAGCACATCAAACTGAGCTTTTCCCTTCTCTGCTGGACCTTTTTTGTAAAAAGAATTAGCACATGTGCTAAATCTGTGTAGTATTAGCAGTAGGTAGGTAGGGCTGCCACAAACGATTATTTTGATAGTCGACTAGTCACGGATTATTTTTGCGATTAGTCGACTAATCAGATCATGCATCCATTGGACGTAAAATGTACAGCTTATTGCACCAGCATGCATCTGCTCTTA